TGGGCGGGGCGTGCTGCAAGAATTTCAAAAATTCGTGGTTCACTCATAAAGAACTCGGAGAGCGGAAAAGAAACGATAGGCGATCAATTGGCGAAAAATGAGGAAGATACACCCATACTGGGCGGGGCATGCTGATGTTGGGCGGTGCTTGCTACAAGATTTTCAAAAATTCACAATTCGCTCCCAGAGTCTCCAAGAGTGGAAGGGAAACGTTAGGCGATTAGTTGGCGAAAAATGAGGAAGATACACTCGCATTGGGCGGGCATGCTGTTGTTGGGCGGTGCTTGCTGCAAGAACTCCAAAAATTCATAATTCGCTTAGAAAGAGCTCGAAGAGTGGAAAGGAAACGTTAGGGGAAATTGGTGAAAAATGAGGAAGACCACCTATACTGGGCGGTGCTTGCTACAAGAATTTTAAAATTCTCAATTCGCTTCCAAAGAGCTCGGAGAGTGGAAAGGAAACGTCAGGCGATCAGTTGGTGAAAAATGAGGAAGACACACCCGTATTGGGCGGGGCGTGCTGCAAGAATTTCAAAGTTCATAATTCGCTTCAAAAGATCTCGAAGAGCGGAAAAGAAACGATAGGCGATCAGTTGGCGAAAAATGAGGAAGACAAACCCGTGTTGGGGGATGCTTGCCGGAAAAAATTCAAAAATTCGTAACTCGACTCCAAAAAAGCTCGGAGTGTGATAATGATGAATGGCGCGATCACCACTTGCGCGGTTCTCGGTTCAACTTCCGGTCGACTCCCGCCCAGGCCAACCAAGCCTTCTACCCTCCGGGAACGGTAAATTGGTACCAGATTCGTCTGGGAGGATAAAACACTGACTTGTACATCGGCTGGCCCCGCAAGTCATTGTATAGGCCACATCGCATTCAATAAGCCACTACGATTCTGAATGGAAGTAGAATGCGTGCCGCATCCCACAAAGGGATTGATCAACGGCGAAGACTTTATCCTTTATCCTTATCCACCTGAAAAGAAGGGAGAGCTTTCCCTCAATGACACTATTCACAAAGGTGAATCGTTTATCAACAAAATCCATAAAATTTTGGTTGCGAGCAGACAGAGTTAAGTTCGTTCTCCTGTGCAACATCGAAACAGCCTTCACCAAGTTCGCATTCCAGGCAATCACAAAGATCTTTGTCGATTTCTTTGAACCAAAAAGATTACATAGCCTCTCTTACAGGTAAATATAACCGGATATCGGTCTTCAAGACACCCTTTTGGTGTCGCTGCACCACCCAGCATACTGAATATGGCACTTTTGGCATATTTGGAGTCTCTCAAAAGCGATCTTGCTTTGAAACTCGCCAAAACCTTCACCTTAAGAAAATTTTGTTGGCTACAGACACAGAACAAGAAGCGCTGCTGAAATATGAGGCCAAAAGCCCTTTTCGTTGAAATCGGAAATTGAATCTCCGCGAATACGTTTCACATTCGAAACTTGTCAATTCCAAAATATCCACTGAAGACCAATAGCGACCAAACAAATGAAGTGCTTAGGCGTGAATTATTTATTACGACCTTGACAACGACCGCTTTACCATTAAAGTGAAGTTTCCATCAAAATATAACCCTAAGCGTGATATTGTTGGTCAATTAAGTTCAATTTACAATCCACTGTGCATCACTAGCCGCCCTTATAGGGTTAAATTCCACAACGAGAGAAACTTGTGAGATAATGCCGATTGGAACAGCCAGATTCCGCGAGAAATGTCCAAGAAATGGATTACCATATGCAAATAACTCAATGATACCATAATATCGATTCCACGCACTGTTCCGTCCACTAGTGAGGGTGGAACTACCGCTCATCGCTGGGTATTTGCAGACTCGAGCAAGGTTGCGATAGCAGCATGCGCGTATATGCAATCAACCATAACAATGAAGTATCGCAGATCATTTGCGGAAAGACTCGCTTGAGTCCGAAAAGGAACGAACAAACTATACCATGCTTAGAACTGCTCGGGTTTCGATCGCTGTCGGACTAGTTTCCGCACAAAAAAAAACAATCTTTATCACAGTAATAACAATCAGCACAGTAGTGGGCAGCGAATTGCCCCTGCTGGATTAGTTCGCCGCGCAAGATACCAGTTTTCGTTGCCAACCAGTGTGCTCGCATTTATAAACTAAGATCGCAAAAGCCGAGGATACTGCCGTTCAGGTCTATCACGTTCCTCTGAGAGGAGGCTTTCCCAAAAATCACTTTCCTGCGACCCATTAACGTTGTTCAAGTACCAATCGAAACGCCAATCGAAACTGATGCGTCACCATGTGATTAAACTCCCGCACGTTAGAGTAATTGAGTTCACAGCACCGCTTCTTGACGTTACACGGTTCTCAAAGCTGTCTACTGCGCTGCGCACAGTCGCAAGAGTAGACTATTTTCTCCACCGAGTTGCATCAAGGGTGAACGAGAAAAGACATACGCCCATTCAAATCGCAGAGAAGTTACGACTCGTAATAGAGATCCGAATTGACGCGAGAGCATAGCCACGGCAGAAACTTTCGTTCATGCAGATGTTAACAAAATCATCGATGAAAGTGAGCTCAGTAGAGAATTCAGGAACATGCTTATCACTCGCGATAAGGACGGCATCATAAGGCACATGCTACGCCTGTAGTACGCTTGCGTACCCACTGACGTGAAATCTCCCATTATTTGCCAAGCAAAAGCGACCTGACTGGGCTCATTATAACCAGTATTCACAAAAAAACCTCCACAGCCGCAAAGAACAAACTTGTTAGGCAGAGATAATGATTACTCCGCGCATCCGCTTCTTTAGAACCGACCCAAAAAAAAACTGCGCGGTCTGTAAGAGAATGCAAGGGTTATCATTTGGCTCCCTAAATATGCCACCTTTATCTCGGATTTATTACAACAAAACCATTCCTCAACATTGGCTGTGATTTTATCGGTCCGTTCTATACGAAGGCGGATGTAAACATATACATGTCCTTGTACATACCGTCCACTTAGAAGCTGTGGAAAACATGTCAGCAGGGGGATTCTTGAACAGCCTCATTCGTTTTATATTGAGACGAGGCGTCCCCCACATAATCCGCTTCATAAAAAATCCAATCTGCATATAATCAGAATGCAGGCCAGTCCAGCTGGGCTCGAAAATTACAGTCGAGCTTTCAAAAGCAGCTGAACCTACAAGGAAGCTTAGTAATGAGCTACTGTGCTGATAATGGCATAGAATGGATATTCAACCCGCCTGCTAGTCCATGGATGGGTGGTGTTTGGGAAAGACTGGTCGGTTCCGTAAAACGGTGCATGAGAAAATCAATCGGAAGAAAAAGATTGAGCTTCATACAGATGAGCACGGTCGTTGCTGCAATTGAAGCAACAATTGAATACCCGCCCTATAACAAAGATAAGTACACAAATTTGTCAGAAATTCCACTGAGACCGGTCGACTTCTTACAAGGGAACACGAAATTTTTACTTCAAGATTCCGGAGCCCTTAATGACTCGGAGGATCCCTCATATTAACCAACATGCACATAAACAAGGAACCTTTAGAAGCACTCAAATATTCCGAGCAAATCGCTAATAAAACTTGGGAAAGTGGTGGTCCGTACCTAACTATCTTAAGAGAAAGTCAAAAACTTCATTTGCACATAGCGAGAAGTGTTCCTGGAAGGACTGAAATAGTTCTAGCAGAGTAGGATCCGCTCCCTCGAAGCTCACGGTCATATGGGAGGATCACTGATTTATCGTTTAGCCATGCAAGATCAGCAAAAATCCTGTCCTCAAGCGGTAACGTCCTACGAAGACCATTAAATAAATTGTTCAATTAGGAAGTCCTCATCATTGCGGACCGGTGGGGCGTGTCAGCCAGTATGAGTGTGCACACTGTTGAAGCCGTTCTCAGCCTTTTTGTTGAAACGCGTATGCGACAAAAAGTGGTAGAAAACGAGTAATACGAAGGATATAATACAGTAATGTCACTTGCCCGCTTCAACAACTGGTGCAGAACGACTTTGGCACCGCGCCAAACGCAGCCGCACTGACACGCCCCACCGGTCCGCAATGATGAGGACTATACATTTAGTAGATAAGGATACGGCTGAAGTGGTAACTGCACCACTTCCGGGCAAATCCGCGAAAACGCGCACATGAGTGGTGGACTTTAGCTGGAGCGGTGTACAGTAAGATACTGTGGGCACCACCTAGCGCATATACCGAAGCCTGCCTGCGGTATGACCTCACTAATTCTCCGACTGCTGACCTCTCACCGGCTGCTCAACGATACGAGATGAATCGAATTCATCCAATAGTAAGATTCGAGATGCGGTGATCAGTAATTTCCCTATTCCATAGGTGTTAGAATGAGGATAAATGTTCGTATCAAAGAAAACCCTGTTGAAATTTTCAGAAATTTCTGTTTTTAGGTGCACCCACGACTGAATTTTAATTTCAATTGAATTTTTTGCGAATTTCTAAATCAGGCTCCGCCCACAAAGGTGTATTTTGCACTTCTCAACGGGGACCACTTGGGACCATAATCCACTTTTTCGCGTCGTCTGTAGTGCTCTAGGACCAAACTACGATTTTTTTAATTAATACCTTACGTTTGAGGTCACGCCCCTCCCACTGTGGGCGGGTCACAGCACACCGCAAATATGACGGACTCTCGCCAGATGTTTGTCTTCGCCATGGACTTTTTTGCAATCTCTAAACTCTCTCGGGACCGAGTTACCGACATTTGTGGGAAGCACCGCCCATCTCGAGTACGCCCGCCCATTTCGAATGTGCCTCCTCCATTTGATGGGTCAACCCCTTGATATGTCCCATTTTTACTCCATCTCGGAGCTCCTCGGTAGCTGAATTATGAATTTTTTTCAGTGACACCGGAAGACCGCCCATTTCTAGTTTCGGGTGTGCCCCCTCCATCTGATGAGTCAACCCTTTACCAACCTTAATCCACTTTTCCCCATCTCGGGACTGCTCTGGAGCCGAATTATGAATTTTTCAGTGAGACCGCTAACTTTCAACGCATGCCCCGCCCACTGTGGGCGGGGCTTACCATGGGTTACGGTTGCTCTTTACATCTTGTCACATGCCCTACCCATCCCGACCTTGACCCCACCTCTCCAAGTTGTTCTTCTGGTAGAACCGAATTTCCGGACAGACAATTACAAACAAACAAA